CATCCTCCAACATGTTGTTTGTCTACAATTGATACAAAAACACAAACACTAGACAAATAACATTAGAATTAAATTGTTTGTAAATCATCATCAAAACAAGAAGGTCAACACAGGTATTACAAGAATCAGTGCAAGAGTAAATAGAAGGAGAAGGAGTCGAAGGCAGAGGTGAATGTCACTTCTACATCAGGAGGAGACGACGCATTGATATGCTCTTTGGAGAGCAAGGAGGAATCTTAGGTGTTAGATTCAGGAGCGTCGTTCCATGCTACTTCTCAGAAAGAATTCTTCGAGAAATATGTTCCTAGAAATCTTGGATATATATACCTTGGTGATGATCAACCGTGTGCTATTGTGGGTAAAGGTGTAGTAAAAATTAAGTTGAACAGGTCAGTATGGGAGCTAAAGGATATCAGGCATATTCCCGACCTGAGAAAGAACTTAATATCCGTAGGCCAGTTTGCTGGTGAATGATACACTATGACCTTCCATGGAGATGATTGGAAGATCTCAAAGGGCGCAATGACGATTGCCCGAGGCAAGAAGACGGGTACCCTATATATGACAATAGGTGCACGTTGTTTAATCTCAGTTGCAGCAGGCAATAAGACCTTAAATTTGTGGTACCAGAGACTCGGTCATATGAGTAAAAAGGGGTTGAAGATTATGCACACAAAGGGAAAACTCCCAGGTCTAAAATCAATGGAGATGGACATGTGTGAAGAATGCATACTTGGAAAGAAGAGAGTCAGCTTTCAGACAAGTGGCAGAACCTCCAAGAAAGAGAAACTAGAGCTCATTCACTCAAATGTTTGGGGACCAACTACCACCGTATCCATTGGTGGGAAACACTACTTCGTGACTTTTATCGATGACCACTCTCGAAAAGTGTGGGTCTATTTTCTGAAGCATAAATCAGAAATATTTGAGGTTTTTAGGAGATGGAAAGCTATGATCGAGAATGAGACCGGTCTGAGAATAAAGAAGCTCAGGACCGACAATGGCGGTGAGTATGAAGACACCGGATTCAAGAAGTTCTGCTATGAGCACGGGATCAGAATGTAGAGAACCATGCTCGGAATTTCTCAGCAAAATGGTGTAGCTGAGCGGATGAACCGTACGTTGATAGAGAGAGCTTACTTGATCAACTGAGGTCTATCGGTTCCATTAGAGCACAGAATACCAGAAGAGATATGGTGCGGAAAGGAGGTAAAACCCACACATCTCAAAGTTTTTTTTTTTTGTGTAGCTTATTTGCATATTAGTGATCAAGGCAGGAATAAGCTTGATCCCAAGTCAAAGAAATGCACTATGGTGAAGATGAGTTCGGCTACCGTATTTAGGACAACGAAAATAAGAAAGTGATCCGCAACAGAGATGTGATATTCAACGAGAAGGTGATGTAGAAGAACATACACAAGACAAGTGACTCAGAGAGCAAGTCAATATTTGTAGATGCAGATGATGTCCCGAGTAACCTCTCAGAAGAACCCAATGCAGAAGATCCTCATCCAGAAGAGCCTGTTGGACAGAACGGTGCACAGGAGCCCGACGCACCAGCTCCGACATTAAGAAGATCTTCTCGGCCTCTTGTGCCCAACAGGAGATATGTGAACTATCTTTTGTTGACAGATGAAGGAAAACCTGAAAACTATGATGAAGCTTGTCAGGGTGGAGATGCGAGCAAGTGGGAGCTTGCCATGAATGATGAGATAAAGTCTCTCATCTTAAACCAGACGTAGGAACTAGCTGAGTTGCCCACGAGTAAGAAGGCACTCCACAAAAAATGGGTGTACAAGGTAAAAGAGGAGCAAAATAGTTTCAAAAGATATAAAGCTCGACTAGTTGTTAAAGGATTCCAGCAGAGGGAAGGAATTGACTATATTGATATTTTTGCTCCCGTGGTGAAGCTTAATACTATCAGGATAGTGATGATTATTGTAGCTATTGAAGATCTTTATCTCGAGCAGTTGGACTTGAAGACGGTGTTTCTTCACGAAGATATAGAAGAGGAGATATATATGCACCAGCCAGAAGGTTTCTTAGAACAAAAGAAGAAGAACCTGGTGTGCAGACTCAAGAAGAGCTTGTATGGTCTAAAACAAGCCCCACGACAGTGGTATAGAAAGTTTGATGGCTTCATCCACAAGGAAGGTTTCCAAAAGTGCAATGCCGACCATTGTTACTACTTCAAAAGATATCAGTCCGGTTATATCATTTTACTACTGTATGTTGATGATATATTAGTTGCAGGTACAGATATGGAGGATATCAGGAGTTTGAAGCAGCAGTCGTCAAAAGAGTTTGACATGAAAGACTTGGGTCCAGTAAAGAAGATCCTTGGAATGCAAATCACGAGAGACAAGAAGAAAGGGTTCTTGCAGTTGTCTCAGACAGAGTACATCAACCGTGTTTTGCAGAAAATCAATATGGGCGACGCCAAGCCAGTCAGTACATCATTGGCCAGCCATTTTCGCCTATCAAAGGATCAGTCTCCTCAGTCGGATGAAGAGAAAGAGGGTATGGCTAAGGTTCATTACGTCTCAGCCATTGGAAGTTGATGTACGCAATGGTCTGTACGAGACCAGACATTGGTCATGCAGTAGGAGTGGTCAGCCGGTTTATGTCGAATCCAGGAAAAGCTCGTTGGGACGCGGTCAAGTGGACTCTGGGATATCTACGAGGCACCACACAAAAGTGGTTGTACTTTGGTAAGGGAGAGGTGGAAGTGCAAGGGTACGTAGATGCAGACTTTGGAGGTGAAGTCGATCACCGAAGAAGCACCACCGGCTATGTATTCACTGTCAAAACTAAAAAGTTGTTAGTTGGATATCACAGATATAGAAGATTATCACTCTATCCACTGCAGAAGCTGAGTATGTAGCAGTGACTAATGTCAGTAAAGAGATTATATGGATTTAGAGTTTGTTAACTGAGCTGGGATTCAAACAGGAGAGGAATGTCTTGCACAGCGATAGTCAGAGTGCGATTCACTTGGAAATCTTCATAATAATGAGACATTATAAACTAGGGGCTTTTATATATTTCCCTTAAATATTCATATTAGCCCCTTACATCTCAAAAATTTTATATTTGTCCCTTAAATCTTTAATAATTGCATATTAGTCCATCAAATATTGGAAATCGTGTATTAGTTCCTCAAATTCTATAGGGTCTTACAAAATGGTCCATTGTTAGTATGTAAATTAAAAAAACCTAATCATTATTGGGTTAACTCCTAACCAAAATTTACAATCATCAAACTACCCTTCTCTTTGAATGTTTCAACCCGTACAACTCAACTTTGGGTTAGGTTTTATCGCTAACCACCGTAGAAGAAGAAGTCAGGTGAGTTGTAAGCGGGCGTTGGGTTTAAATCTATCAAGAAATGGTTGGGGAATATTATAGAGGGGGTAAAGTTATCATTTTGCCTCAAACCGTTAGATTCAACGAAATATTCCCCCCAAATCCAAACGTGATTTAACTTGAAGGATCATTTTGTCAAACTCTATAGGATTTGAGGGACCAATATTCAATTCCTAATATCTAGGAACCAATATGCTATTATTGAAGATTTATATGCAATTTCTAATATTTGAGGGACTAATATGCATTATTGAAGATTTAAGGGACTAATCTATAAAAAAACCAATAAATTAAGATAGTTAACATTCCATTAAAAGATACAAATATGAGGTATAGTAACCTCATAATCCGAAAAAAAGGTTGCAAATAGCTAGTATTGGCATGTATCTTCAACAGGGTTACTATGTCATAATAACTATAATATTCAAATACGCAACATGAATTGTTTGATTACAAAATGGAATTTAATGTAATGTACGAAAACACGAACATTAGATTAATAATTGCAAATAATATAATAAAAATAATATTTAATCAGTGATAAAATATTTCTAATTACAAACCGTGCTCTGGATACGCCTATATATAATATACTAGTTTAAGATTATGGCTAAAGATTGGCTAAGTAGCACTTAGAAACCTTATAGTTTGCATGACTTTCAACTTATATATTACATTCTCTTTCGTATTTAAATGTTCCTTTGGTTTTTTTAAGTAGCACGTTATTCTTTGCCTTTTGTTAATCAACTGTTGAAATATTCCCCTAAAATATGCTCATGTAACTTTAACATGTTTAAAATAAGTCGATATACCCTTAAAGGTACATGAATGAACTAAAATGCTCGTCTTATTGTGTTCATAATACGTCCAGGGGTTTGTTTAAAGTGCTACTTTAGAGGTTTTATGCACTTTTAGTTGATTCAAGAATTAGCAGTATAAATGATCAATTTTTTCCTCCAAATATTCCAATGATTCATAAACAGACGAAGTTGATCTACCATATTATTTTATCTTTTACCTGAATTATCAATTGCGGAGTTGGTTTTGAACTATCAATCACACAACTAAACTTTGATGCTACTGTTTGGAATAAAAAGAAAGAGAACTACTTATTGCAAACTCAATTTTAACTTCATCACCACAACATTTCTGGAAACTTATGGCCAAGTACATTGTAGGAAAACAGGGAACAAATTTAATAATCCAAACCTGCAAAACTCAACTTCCCAAAAGACTGGCAAATTTTCTAATTTTAAATCCCTTAATATTATAGAAATCTAAAGGACACATTATTGATCACATTGTGAAAGAAAATCACTGGAAAAATGATGCAAAAACTACAATAGATTATATTACAAAGCAAATCATTTACAACGAGAAACAAGAGAGGTTATTTATGTACAATCTTCTCAATTTTTTTTATACCACAGAACAGAACTACAAATGCCACAGGTAATGAGCAGAAAAAACAGACTCCAGAAATTCTGAAATCTGCCAGAGACTAACAGAGGGCCAATCGACACTTGAGCTTATTTTGCTAAGACTCCAGAAATTCTGAAATCTGCCAGAGACTAACAGAGGGCCAATCGACACTTGAGCTTATTTTGCTATCCGAATTCAACAATCATCCAATCCCAGAGACTAACAGAGGGCCAATCGACACTTGAGCTTATTTTGCTATCCGAATTCAACAATCATCCAATCTGCAGGAAGAAAGATGAGACAAGTAAGAGCAAAGTAGCAACTCCGAAGAAATCCCAACTGCTGTCGCCATCAAAGATTAGAATATAGAATGTTATCGGTTGTTCAGTAGAATTCATAATACAATACTCCTAAAGGTGATACTGCATTTCTTTCACCAATAACTATGTGCTGAAACATTATTATCCGTTATCAGCCACAGAGAAATGATTAAGCAACCTAAGTTAAAATGATCGAATAGGAAAATCATTAAGGAAAAGGAGTGACTGTAGTAAACAATGACGAGGAGGAAAACAGTAAACAATGACGATTAGATGATTAATGACTAATTCCGCGACTTCGAGTGGATTGGATTGTCTTATTCATGCATATTATGCACAGTGTCATGAATGAGAATAATTGAGAAGGCTACCCGACAAAATTTTCAACCCAGTCACGACATAGCAAAATCTGGGGTGAGGTTTTCAGTGGTGAACAAAAATGACTCCACAGAGAGACAGGTCGAAATGACTTTGCAAAACATTTTTCTCTTTTCTAACAAATTCAAAGACAATTATCATGCTTTCTATTTAAATCGCAATCCTTAATACAATCATATCTTCATCTCTAAATTTAGTTCTCACCATGATATGCAACGATCAATTACATTGAACCAAACGTGTTTGATATAGCATGTTAACGAAAATAAATTCCTTATTTGATATTATTGCAATCTACTTCCTTCTCATTGTCCGCCTGAAAGGTAACAAGATATGTATATTCAATACACATGGACAACAGTAAGATGTCACATAAAAGAACCTAGGTAAAAACATTTATGAAAGAAATGATAATTTTAAACTTGATGGAGGAGATGACCCATAACAGAAATGAATGGAATATTAGGATTCATATAGCTGATCGCAAAAGTTGGGATAAAGGCTTCATTGCTGATGCCGCTACAGTTGTTGTATAGAATCAAATTCTCAAATTATTATGTATATGTATTTTTCTGTCCTGTGGGTGGTTGCTTGGCACAGTGACCAGCATCTTAGGAGAAGGTTATATATGCAATAATTCTGCAAGAGTCATAAGCGTGTAATGCTGAAATCTCAAAAGATCAAAAGACATTCAGAATTAAAATCAGAATGCTTGAAACCAACAGTAGAATGATTCCTCAGATGTGACCTATGAAGCACGGACACGGACACGGCGACACGGACACAGCAAAACCCAAAAAAAAAGGACACGACGACACGGCTAGATTTTTTTTTAATATTATTATTATATATAGATAAATTTATAAAATTCAAACAACAAACTAAAATGTAATCCTCAAACACAAAATACTAAGCTACTAGATATCATGTTATAAATCTTTGTTACTGTACAAAAAATCCGACTTTTAATTTTATACTCAATTGCAAGAAGCAATTTATGTCTTACAAAATTGAGGAACTCTTCAACAAAAATCTGTTACAAGTATTTGACAGTATTCTCTAATTAACAATAAATTAAAAAAATAAAACCCTAATTAATTAACAGTAAATTAATGGAACCCTAATTAATTAACATTAAATTAAAAAAATAGTAAATTAAAATGTAACAATAGGAGCCCTAATTTAATTAACAGTATATTCATATTAAAAAAATTAAGTGCATATATATAAATAGGGAGACTGAGAGAGAGACGAAGAGATTGAGAGAGACGGATTGAGAGAGAGAGAGAGAGAGATCGGGAGAGAGTGACGGATTCAGAGAGAGAATCGGAGAGAGAAAGAGATTGGGAGAGAGACGGATTCAGAGAGAGAAAGAGAGAGAGACTGACCTAGCGTCGAGAGACTGGCGGCGTCGAGGACGAGGAAGAGCCGATCTCGAGCTCAAGAGAGACGAGGACGAGGAAGAGCCGATCTCGAGGACGGTAAGTAATGAAATTAGGGTTTGGGTTTGGGTTTGGGTTTGGATTTGGGTTTTGGGTTTTCTTTTTTGTTCGCGAACGAGTCGGGAACGAGTCGCTCACGAATCTGGGACGTGTCGGTGCGTTGACCGCGTCGGTGGAGTTGACTGTGTGTCCGACGCGTGTCGAACGTGTGTCCGCGTCCGACACGCATCAGACATGGACTCGGGGCCAATTTTGGCGTGTCCGTGCTTCATAGGATGTGACCAATGGCAAATGCAGATTACTTTTATCAATATATTTAGTTTGGAAATTCAAAAGTCACAACTTACATGGATTTGCTGCAGTCATCATGAATTTCATAGTTACAGGCTCCTAGCCATCATCCGTTCCAAAATATCTGTCTCCAAACTCACCCATGCCAGGAAGGACACGAAAATCTTCACTTAAACCAGATTCAATCTCAGATGTAACAACTTTAAGTCGTGGAAACCTTTTGCAAACAACATGCAAGCCTTGAGGAGCCTAATCATACAAAGAAGGATGTTACTGAACTGTCATGAGATAAACAGAAATAAGTGATATAAATTTGTACTGAAGCAATCTGAGCTTAACTACATTAACTAGTCATGTAAATATCATCTTTGTAGCAACATGAGTGACAGTGCCATATAAGGATAAATCATCACAAAATTGAATGCATGGTACATCCATATCCCAAGCATCCACATGCTAGAAACTACGTTAATCCCAAAAAAGAGATTGTGTGCAGTAAAATATGCAAGTGCTTTGTCAATCCAAAGGCAACAGCTTTGATGGAATATGATGCTGAGGCATAATGAATTTCAATTTCTAAGGCAAGAGGTCTGATGGAATATGACGTTGAGACACAATGAGTTCCACTTATTAGCATGCAAAGGGTAAAATTTTAACAAACTCTTTAAGGAAACACAACTACGATTTGCCAAGGACTACTGTGGGAAAGGATTGAACTGTTGATAGTAGTCCCATGGATCAATGGTCATGCCTTTTCATAAGATAAAATGTTATTTCTTTCATTAGCACACACACCAACTGGTTATTGTGACTATCATTTGTTCGCTAGTTCTTAAACCCATATAGGAATCTTGTAGTGTTCCTACCAAACGTCTAACTATGATTATCACGTGATTCCCAAGGGAGTTTAAAAACTAATGGAAAAACAACAATGACATAGGGACCAAAGGTGTTTGCAATAAACTAAACAGTGATGATAAGTGGACCCACCTCACTAGTTAAAACATCCTAGAATCTGTCGTTTTAAGAGAGCACTGGATTATTTTCTCATAACTGTCTGCTGGGGAATTTGATCTTTGTGTACAGCATAAATGTAATTGTTATTTCTTTGCATTGTTTTCTTCATACACAACAAAACTTTCTATGGAAACCGGAACCATTATATTATAGTTAATTCTATCTAGTTTTCCTGAAGAATGCAAACATTCTTGCCAATATATAACAAGCAGAATTTATGCGCAACATAAATTGTCGTTCTTTGTAGATTAGAGTGCTTTTGCATCTTTCATTCTCAAGATAAATTAAATGTTTTTACACTCTAGTAACCCTTGTTGCTGTAACTTTGTCTAGCTTTCTTAATGGTATAAACTTGCAAGGCAGTATATAAACTATTTTAAGATGAACTATGAAATCCCAAATCTTCTGGTACAATGTCGAACCCAATGATAGATCTCTCCATGAAATAGAAAGATTCTGCAAAAAAATATCCCCAGATTTCTTTGGGCTGCCTGGAGAATAAACCGAAGGAAAAATAAAACAATAGAATGAAGCAAACACTGTTATTCATTTTCACCACCTTCAAGCAATGAATCATCTCAGTATCCGTAATACAAGTTATATAATTCATTGACTTTCTTTAAATACATTTAAGTGCTGATACCGTTCTTAGGCAACATGAAAAGGAGGTCAAATTTAAGATTTCACCAATAAGGTTGCAATCTGAACTGCCACATCCAAACTGAAATCTAGATGAACAAGGGTAGACCTTAGTTCTAAAGTTTCCATGCTCAAGTCACGGATCTGTAACCAAATCAAAATTTGAGCTAAGTCAGATTGGATCTGAAAATCAATCCACCCTGAATCGGATCCCTGAGTAGTGAGTAGTTTGTGTCGATTGGTTGGAAACTACCAGAGATAAAAAAGATCGCAGGTGCAAGCTCCCTTTTTTTTTAAATGTGCAAGCTCCCTTTCTTTTGCATGCATGCACATTTTGACCTTACATCTTTGCTTGAATGCACTTATGCTTGCATGTGTGCACAACTTTCACAATGAAACCCTTAGGTCGTAGAAATATTTAGTTCTGGTGTATTTGACAATTATATTCTTGCTCAATTGTAAGTCCAATCCATATCTTCTTTTTTTATTGAAGAGAGAAAATTAATGGACAATATGAATCAGCCCGTCGAACTCCATCAGTTGCAGTATTGCTAGTGCATATTTTTTTATGCACAGAAGATTCATGTCCCATTTCAGAAACATAAAGACACACAGGGCGCATGCGCACAAACTTTTGCATGGGGCACGCAATTCAAGAAATATGATTCATCCTTCTTAATAAATAAATCTAAAGTAGCAGTTGTTTAACTAAAAACTGAATGAAAAGTTCACCAAGTATTCATACTTTCCTAAGAAAATTTACTACTTTTAACCGTAAGTTTACCATAAAGAAAAAATAGACCGTATTTTTTGTTTCTTATTTTTATCTCAACTTTATACAAATTTACAAAAATCGGCAGGTCATGATGTAACATTTTGGTCTTTTTAGTATGAGATAACCTTTCATGGTGCTAACGTGAAAACCCTAGAGAGATTATTAGCTCTCTTAGATGTTGTTTATAGTGTTTAGAGAAACAAAGTAGTTTGTCCCTAACCAATGTGGGATTAAACAACAAGGAATAAACAACTCTCTCAACACTTCCCCTCAAGCTGAGCATACATATAGTACATGTTTAACTTGTTACAAATAAAATTCACTCATATTCTCTCAAGAGATTTCGTGAGAATGTCTGCAAGTTGATATTCTGATGGTATGTGTTTGGCTTTAATGATTCTCTTCTTCATCTTCTCACGAATCAAGTGGCAATCAATCTCTATGTATTTTGTCCTCTCATGAAACACTGAATTCTCAGCTATGTGAATAGCGGCCTTGTCATCTCCATAGAAGCTCATGGGACGCTCCGGAGGATAACCAATCTCCGTTAATATATCTCTAACCTAGATCAGCTTGCAAATCAAATTTGCAATGGCTCGAT